TTTCTGATTTATCTTCTATACTTCTTAGTCAGATTCACCTTGTCTTTAGTATTTGAAAGACCAGGAACTCTTCTGGAAAATGAATAAAGCTGGTGCAGAATTGAATGTGCTGTGAATGCCCCATGCTCTCTTACTTAAAGTAGGTTTCTAATTGTCCATGCATGTCCAAATGTCTGGTATATGAGATACCAAAGTAGCACATTTGGTAAATCACCGTACTATGTGTGTGTGTGTCTAACAGCATAACTCAGAAGAATTTTGGTAATATGTTTTCCAGAAAGACTTTTAGTTCTAGGATTCATAGTTTCGACAAGTTTGTACACTTTGTTTGATCTTCAGTGGGAGAATTAGAGTGATTGGTATTCTATAGTGGTCATTTTACCAACTTTCTTACTTAAAGTTAGCCAGGAAGATCACTTGAGCCTCAGATATTATGGCTGCAGTGAGCTATGATTGTGCCCCTGCACTCCAATCTGGGTGACAGAGTGAGAGCTCATCTAAAACATAATAATATGACAAAAGTAGCCTCTAGGCCATGTGCAGTGGCTGATACCTATAATCCTAGCTTTTTGGGAAGTTGAGGTGGTACAATTCCTTGAGGCCAGGAGTTAGAGACCAGCCTGGTCAATATAGTGATAGCCCATCTCTACAAAAATAGTAATAATTTAGCTGAGCATGGTGGTGTGCACCTGTAGTCCCAGCTACTTGGGAGGCTGAGATGGGGAGATCACTTGAGTCTAGGAGTTTTAGGCTGCAGTGAGCTCCGATTGTGACACTGTACTCCAGCCAAGGTGATAGAGTGAGGCCCCATCTCCACTAAAATAAAATAAAATAAAATAAGCCTCTATATGCTTTATCTGTAAGGATTTTTTAAAGCCGTCTTTAAATTAGGTTGTTTTGAAGTTTTATTACTGAAAAAAATGGGTTTTATTTAGGTAACTCATTTTTCTCCAACATTTTCTTCTTCATATTTTATATTAAAAATTGTCAAGATCATTGGAGGTTATTGATAGTATCATTTTCCTCCAAAAATGATTTACTTTTGTTTGTAGGCAGAATGAGAGGTTGAGCTGACACACAGCTGGACCTCAGACTTGGTGAGGGCTGGTCAATTCCTAGTGTACTCCTGCTTATAGGATGCAGTCATCAGGGGTCCCACCTGAAACCCTTGGTTTTCCAAGACTATTCCTCATCCATGGGCCCTGAACCCCAGTTTTTGCCCACCCAGTGCTCTCAGACTAGCAGACTAGCAGCTTTACAACCTCCTGGGTTGTCACTTGATGCTCAGTTTTTTAGGCTCTCTTTGCAACCTTTCGAAAATTGATAAATGCTTTAGGAGGATACGCAGCCCTGAATGTTAGCCTAACCTCCCTGTATGCTTCCCTTTTCTCCAAGAATTTCATCCGAGTTCTCACTGCCTTGCTAGCTCTGATGTCTTCAGATAAGACTTTTGGCTAACAGGGTGTGGTTCTTCATTCTTAGCAAGAAGACTGGTGGAATAAGATAGTCATTGTTGGAATTTTCCTATATTTATAAGTGAATATTCAGATATTAAAACTAAGTATATATAGTATGCCGTATTTGCATTACTGAATCTTATACCAATTATATATATTAATCTGTGAAATCCTATGATCATTTCCAATATAAAAGTACAGGAATGCCGTAACAGCACTGAATAAGGCATTCAGCCATTTGATCAGTTTTAAAAAATCTACCGGATTTTAAATTCATACATCTGTTATTTACTTTATATCTATATTTGCAATCATATTTCATACATTCTTCCCTTTTCCTGTTTTCCTACTGGGTTGCTTTACTCTAAGTGGTTCTTTACCAATAATATGTGCTACAAATGTTTCTTCTCAGGCTGTCATCTTTTGAGTTTGTTTATAATTTCTGTTATCCAAAATTTTTTTATTTTTATGTATTAAAATTTTTTCAGTAGCCAAAATTTGCCCTCCCATTTCCAGATAATAATAGATTCATCCCTGCTTTCTTGTAATAGTGTTATGATTTCCTTTTTTGTAAACATTTAAATATCTGATCCATACAGAATATGTTTTATATCTGAGAAATGAGATATTGGGAACTAGCCCAATTTCTCACATAGCTGGTCAGTTGCTTTAACACTGTTAAAGTGATCTTTCCACAGGTATCATCTGCTGCTCTTACAATATCTAAGTATCCATATACCTGAGTCTGTTTCTAGACACTCTTATTTTTTTTCACCACTGGCTATCCATTTTATTTACGTATTGAGACTTTTGAATACATTTTTTTTTAAATCAATAAGACAACTTCTTTACCCTTTTAAGAAGCATATCTTCATTTCATATATTTTAAAAAATGAATTTGAGTAAGTTGGACAAACTAAAAATCTTCTTGGGATTGAATATTGAATTTGTAGATCTCATTAGGCGAAATTGGTATCTTGATACTGTTTTTTGTCTTCCTTGCTAAGTTTTATTTTTCAAAGTTTCTTTTAATAACTGTTTACTCCTGATTCATTCATAGGAATTTTTGTATGTTATTGCTATTATGAATGAGATATTTTCTTCCATTTTGTTGGTTATTTGTTTGAGACAAAGTCTTATTCTGTCACCCAGGCTGGAGTGCAGTGGCGCAATCTTGGCTCACTGCAGCCTCTGCCTCCCAGGTTCAAGCAATTCTTCTACCTCAGCCTGCTGAGTAGTTGGGACCACAGGTGTGCACCACCACGCCTGGCTAATTTTTGTATTTCTAGTAGAGATGAGGTTTTATCACGTTGGTCAGGCTGGTCTTGAACTCCTGACCTCATGTGACCCACCCACCTCAGCCACCCAAAGTATTGGGATTACAGGCGTAAGCCACTGCATCTGGCCCCATTTTGTTTTCTAACTGGATTTGGTTTGTATATGAGAGAGCCATTTATTTTTTAATGTAAGTTTTCTAACTGAGCCACCTTTCTGAATCCTTTCATTCATTCCTTTGGTATTCCAGACACACAGCATTGTTTCTTCAGATTATCATATTGTCCCCTGCTTTTCAGTGTCAATACCTCTTAATTCATCTCTTCTCTCATTGCATTGCTTGCTCTTTTAAAAGAAAATGTTAGGCCACCATGGTGTTGGTTTATATTTTTAAATGTAATCTTGGCTTTCGGTTATTTAGATAAGAGGATTGGTGTGTTTGTTTCTTTAATTAAAAACAAACCCAATACTCTGTTGGTTCTTTTCATCAGCTTCTCTGGCTTTTTAGGAAGTTAGGAAACTTTATAAAACTGGTTTATTTCTTCTTAAAGTTCTTTCTTTGCTTAGGAATGAAAGTATTTGACTTTAACTTTTTTTGCTGAGAACAACACCTACTTCTTATGAATTGGTTTATATTAATTTATTACTTTTTTCTGTATTCTGCTTTTACAGTTTGAGTTCTGTTTTTTTCTGATCAAAAAGTCATGTGGGAAGGAATTTAAATTTTTTTAAATTATGGGGTTTTTTTTTTTTTTTTAGTTTTGTGATTAATTTCTGCCAGCTTACACCAGTGACTATGATTTGTATGACTGTTATATTGTAGAATTCATTTTTTTCATGGTCTTATTTAATGGTGCTTTTTAAAAATTAGTATTACATTGATATTTATAAAGCAACTACACACACCTGTCAAAATATGTTTGACATTCTGACCAGGTGATTTTTGTAGTGACAGTAGAGGTTGATAACCTGTTTTCATAGAAAAAGATTAAGTCTTTTATGTTATGCACACATACACATATATACCCACAAATACATACAAGGCCTTATTATATTATTCAGAGTCTTTATGTCATAATTTTTTGTTTTTTTTTTTAGACAGAGTCTTGCTCTGTCACCAGGCTGGAGTGCAGTGGCGCAATCTCGGCTCACTGCACCGCCTCCTCCTGGGTTCAAACGATTCTTCCACCTCAGCCTCCGGAGTAGCTGGGACCACAGGCACGTGCCACCATACCTGGCTATTTTTTGTATTTTTAGTAGAGACGGAGTTTCACCGTGTTGGCCACGATCATCTCGATCTCTTGACCTCGTGATCCACCCACCTCGGCCTCCCAAAGTGCTGGGATTATAGGCGTGAGACACCGCTCCTGGCCTGTCGTAATTTTTTGGAGACAGGGTCTCACGCTGTCACCCCGGCTGGTGTGCAGTGGCATGATCTTGGCTCACTGCAACCTCTGCTTCCCGGGTTAAAGCAATTCTGCTGCCTCAACCTCCCGAGTAGCTGGGATTATAGGCATGTACCACCATGCCCAGCTAATTTTTGCATTTTTAGTAGAGACAGTGTTTCACCGTGTTGCGCATTCTGGTCCTGAACTCCTGACCTAAGTGATCCACCTGCTTCAGCCTCCCAAAGTGCTGGGTTTACAGGCGTGAGCCACTGTACCTGGCCTATGTCATAATTTTTTTTCTTTTTTAGACGGAGTCGCCCTCTGTTGCCAGGCTGGAGTGCAGTGGTGCAGTCTCGGCTCGCTGCAACCTCCACCTCCCTGATTCAAGCGATTCTCCTGCCTCAGCCTCCTAAGTAGCTGGGATTACAGGCACATAGCACCACACCCGGCTAATATTTGTATTTTTAATGCAGATGGGATTTCACTGTGTTGGCCAGCTGGTCTCAAACTCGTGACCTCAGGCAGTCCACTCACCTCAGCCTCCCAAAGTGCTGGGATGACAGACGTGAGCCACTGCGCCTGGCTCTATGTCATAATTTTTGAGGAATCAAATTGATTTACCAATGACTAGGAGTAGTGATTTGAATCTTTTTTCTTGGTCCTTTTGCATTGCATTTGATCTTGATCTTACCAGGTGTTAACGTTATGATCTGTGTGTTTTGTAATTTTGGAAATGATGGAGTTGGAGGTATGTTCCAGTTTTATCCTTGACTCTGAGTTTGAGCGCTTCAGAAATGGTGCTTTTGCTCTAGCAAAGAAATTTAGAGAACTGAGAGTTTCCTTTGGCTTTTGCAGAATTTTTTTTTTTTTCTATTCCTAGGGGACTCCTTCTCGCAGTTCCGATTTGCTGAGGAGAAAGAATGGGATAGTGAAGCTTCTTGTCCAAAACAGGTAAGACAAAGAGTTTGTTGGTTGGATATGGTGGCTCATGCCTGTAATCCCAGAACTTTGGGAGGCAGAGGTGGGGGTACGAAGATCATGAGGTCAGGAAATGGAGACCATCCAGGCTAACGTGGTGAAGTCCTGTCTCTACTATAAATACAAAAAATTGGCATGGTGGCATGCGCCTGTAGTCTCTCCTACTCAGGAGGCCGAGGCAGGAGATTCCCTTGAACGTGGGAGGCGGAGGTGGCGGTGAGCTAAGATTGCGCCGCTGTATTCCAGCCTGGCGACAGAGCTAGACTCGGTCTCAAAAAAGAAAAAAAGTGTGTCTTAAGTGTGGACTGACTTTTCTTCCGGTTGAAGGCTGACACCTTTTACATTCATGTAGAAAAGAGTAGTAATTCTTACACAGTTTATTCTCAGCTAAAATTTTCAAACAATTGTCAGGGGGCTGAAATGACACAGGTCCCTGAAGCTGGAGTTCACCTTTCTACCTGGCCATCTGTGTGAATTATGCAGCACACAAGGACTGGGTCTCGAGGTAGAAACTTGATAGCCATGATTTTCAGAGTGGATTACTTTGCCTTTTGACTTTCTTTCTTTGCCACTCTGACAATTCCCTTTAGAGTTGAAAATTAGTTTTCTCTCTCACTGTTTTTGGTGTTAGGATGAGAAAACCCTTAATCTCATAGCTTTAAATAACACTTCTCCTGCAATTAGGAGAATAGAAGTATAAAATAAGGGCAAGTATTCTAGAAGTCTTTCAGCAAATCTCTAACCTCTCAATGCTTTATTTTCTTTGTGTGTGTTTAATATTTTCTTCCCAAGGAGTTCTGATTATTTTCCACTAATAATCTTTGTTTCACTGATTCTTTTCATATAAGGAATGACAGGTATTGTCCCCTTTTTAGGATGCACGGGGACATAGTGGTGGCTTGTCACCTGTTCCCCAAATCCAGGGCTAGCACATACTGTCTGATAAACTGATCACCACCCACCCACAGCTTCAGGGTTGGCCTGAAGCTGTAGGCCGGGAGCCCATAGGCGCTCTCCTCCCTGTTCTGCTCCCAGATCAGCTTATGTGCTGTAGCTGGCTCGTTTGATCTCTGGGCCAGTTTTAGGCTCACTTGTTTGGGATGGCCCTTAACTCATACAGATTACGAGGAGGGAAGTCTCTTAGCAAATGACTGCCTGGCACATTACAAAGGGTGTGTTACATATGCCATAGAAAAAGGGGGAAATTACAAACATTTGTCTTGGCTTAGGTCTGGGCATACGCCTCAGGTACTGTTTAGTATTCTAGGACACATGGAAGATAGATTGTTGAGGAATATGGTGGAAGCCGAACAATTTGCATTTTATCTCCTTTTGAACCACATTGATTACCAAAGAATATTTCAAGTAGCTTGAAAGTTTGAAGTAATTCTAAGCTTCGTCATTCATCAAAACATAGAACACTTGTTTACGAGATGTTTTTATTAAATGGAGCTTATTTAAAGTGAATGAGGCAGAGTCCATGCTGTTCGTTGCCCTAGGCCCCTTCCCTGGGCACACTGGCTGACCTGTGGTATGGTAGATGCTCAGTAGCTATTTACCTGATACATGCAAAAGAATACAGCCTAAAACAAGGGGTGTGATAAATGAATTAACAACACTGTGAGAGATAGCTACTTTGGACTGGAAGTGATTAGAATTGGTACCATGGGGAAAAGATCATTTGAATGGGTCTTGGTGGACGAGTGTGACTCTGGTAGGTCCTATCTGTGGAAACAATATGAAAATGGTAAGATCAGGAAAACCAGATTATGCTCAAAGAAGGGTGAGGCCAGAGTGTAGTATTCCCAGAAGAGGAGGCCTCAGTGGTAGGTGTGAGCTAGTTAGTACCAACAGTTTCAGACCTGAGTGTGAATGCTAGATCTAAGACCTGGGGATACTATTTCCCTTCTCTGTTGCTTCACCTGTAAAATGGAGCTAATAACAAAATATAACTCAGAGTTGTAAAAATGACCAAATTAGATAATGAATAAGAAGCCCTTGAGTGCAGTTCCTGATGCATATGAAACACTCAAAATTAGCTCTTTTGTTACTAATATTATTTTTTAACCAAGTTTTGTTGAGCAAGAACATGGAAATGGTTAGATTAACTTCAGCAGCATTGGGAAGGATGGGGAGAGATTGAATGGATGAGATGAGAGGTTAGAGACAAGGAAACCGAGGAGGAGGATGTGATGTTGAACGAATGAAAAGGACAAGAGCCCTAGGGGTGCAGGCAGTGAGCGTGGGACACGGGTGACTCATAGACAGGACTTGAATGGAGGATGGGGTCAACTGTGGACACTGGCCAGACGTGAGACACAAGGACAAGAAAGATTTGCAGTGGCACTGTGCTTTCTAGCTTGAGTAACCAGGTGGGTGGTGATGCTGTTAATGGAACGAAATAAGAGCAGAAAGAAGTTAAGTTTGATTTTGAATAGTTAGAGTTGGAGGTGTTGATAGTACATGACCGAAACGGAAATCTTTTCCCCATCAAAACGATTTCCTCTCTTACTTACCTCCTCACTAAATTTTTTTTCTTGTTGTTGAGAGAGAAAAACTGCAGAGAGATCTATATCACACATAGATGTAATTTGTTGTTGTTCCTTATGCCATCCCGTGTTCTCAGTGTGACCAGTAATGCAAGACAATAAAGAGAGAGGGGCTGGATGAGCCGAAAGGTTAGAGGCAGGGATGGCTCACGCCTATAATCCCAGCACTTTGGGAGGGCGAGGTGGGTGAATTACCTGAGGTCAGGAGTTTAAAGACCAGCCTGGCCAACATGGTGAAATCCTCTCTACTAAAAATACAAAAATCAGCTGAGTGTGGTGGTACACTTCTGTAATTCTAGCTACTTGAGAGGCTGAGGCAGGAGAATGGCTTGAACTAAGAAAGTGGGGGTTGCAGTGAGCTGAGATCATGCCACTGCACTCCAGCCTGGGCAAAAGAGCAAGACTCCATCTCAAAAAAAAAAAAAAAAAAAAAAAAAAAAGAGAGGAAAAGAAGAAATATGGTTTGTTTTTGCAGTTAAAGGAAATAGGAGTTTGATAGGGGAACAGCTTGGAAATCCTCAAGGGAATCCTGGCCGGAGAGGGACCGGGCATCACAGCTTGGCCTTAGCGTTCATTGCTCTGTGGCTGATACGCAGAGTGAAGGGACACAGGCTAGAAGTCACGGTGCTCTGATCTAGCTGTGTTGGCCTGCATGACCACAGGGCATCGGTTCCTTAGATCCAAGAGTGGGATTCTCACACCATTCCTTTGGATAGGGTGGGCACCATGTAAAGAGGGGATGGGTGGGAAGATAATTTTTTTGGGTGAACAGATTTATTATTTTTTAAATGACCTAGGCTTTTTAAATTCCAGGTGAAATTTCTGTTGACATGGTGATTTGTTCAGTAGGCCTTCCGTGAGCATCTGCTGGGTGCTGAGGGCTACGTGGTCATTCCTGACGGCCTGACTTTTAAAGTCACAGATTCCCTGCTTTCCCCACCCCTCCCAGTGAGTCCAGTTCTGTGGGTAAGGCCTGTGAACCTGTATCTTAAAAATCTGCCCAGCGTTTTACTCCACCCAACTGTGTACACGTGGTCCCTGGGCCCCAGATGCGAATGGACAGTAAATGCTGCAGATTCTGGGGAGGATGTAAAGGTCTGATTAAAGGCTATGTTTTTTTAACTGCAAAGTGAAGTGTATAGCAGGTTCTTTTCTCACGAAAGAGTGTGCCTTTATACAGATACTGAGACTCACTCTAAGATTCCTGGACAGAGAGGCACCTTCAGGGTTGCAGATTCCCACCACACAGACAGGATCCTGTGCACGCTGATGGCAGAGAAGTGGGACAGAAAGGCGTTGTCCTGACAGCCAGGACTGGCTCCCTCTCTCAGCATTGGCATGTCTCCTTTCTCTCTACATGCAGCCTCTTAGCATCCTTAGTGGGGGTTGTCTGCTCTCGCCTGTGGCCAGATGCTATAGGCCAGGCCCTTTATTCCAACTGTAAGTGGAAGCCACTGTGATTGGAGGTGCAAAGGCATTCTGGAGGTAGTGTACTGTCAGCTGGGTATTGGGTGATGGGCAGGAATTAGAAATGTGGAAGGAGAAGACATTCCAAGAGGGGACACAGATGAACTTCATTTGTTCAAAGTACTGCTCATAAACACAGCCAGGCCATTCTCTCTTCCTTTGTTTGGTCTCATAAACTTTTCCTTGTTTCTAATATGCCTTGCAGTCATGTTGCATGTGATGCAAAAGAGAGCAGAGGAAGTTGGGACACTTGTAGCTAGACCCAGCCCATCTCAGTGGTCCGTATCCAGAGAGCTAAGAGAGGACCTGGGACTGATCTTCCAGGCATTGCAGAGGTCAAGTTCTCCTTCTTCTTTTTTTTGGAGACAGAGTCTTGCTCTTTCACCCAGGCTGGAGTGCAGTGACGCAATCTTGGCTCACTGCAACCTCCGCCTCCCGGGTTCAAGTGATTCTGCTGCCTCAGCCTCCCGAGTAGCTGGGACTACTGGCACATGCCACCATGCCTGGCTGATTTTTGTATTTTTAGTAGAGACGGGGTTTCACCATATTGGCCAGGCTGGTCTTGAACTCCTGACCTTGTGATATGCCTGCCTTGGTCCCCCAAAATGCTGGGATTACAGGTGTGAGCCACCATACCGGACCTCAAGTTATCCTTTTATAGACTCAGAGAAGGTTATTTACACAATACGACTTTGCAGACACTTAGCTAAGGAAAGGGTGAGATTTCCGGTTTGTACTGTGGGGACTTCCCCCATGAATTTATCAGTCCACATCACAATTTTCTAGTGGGTTGAGAGGAGTTTTTCAAATTTGAGAGCAAAGACTTGGCCACAAGGCTTTGTAATCTTCCATCCGGTTTCTTAAATACACTATATATAATTTTTTTAGTTTAAATTTTTTATTTTTATATGCAGAGACAGGATCTCATTATGTTGCCCAGGCTAGTCTTAAACTCTAGCTCAAGCAGTCCTCTCACCTTGGTCTCCCAAAGTGTTGGGATTACAGGCATAAGTCCCCATGCTGGCCAATACAGTATATTTTTTAGATGCACCTTCCTTTTTTCCAGGGCAAGGGGTCACATTTGTTGCTAAGAGCTCATCATCTCTGGACAATTTCAGATGGGCTGTTGACAAGCCAGGTCATTCCTTTGGGTACCCCATGTACTGCCGTCATGTGGATTTGTGGTGAGAGGGGGTCTGGATTTAGTGGCAGGGCTCTGTTTGAGTCTACCAGAAATGTGTCTCCATCTCTGGTCTTTATTAACTCATTGACTGGAGACATTCCTGCACTGGAGTAGGGAGTAAACTTGGTGACCTCTGGGTTTTCTTCCATTTGAAGTCAGAGATTATAGGGTAAGACATGGTCCTAGCTGGACCTGTGACAATCCTTGGATGACTAGGTGTTTAGTGGTGTTTCCCTCTGGATGTGAGGTCATTGTGACCAAATTTTAGTTTTTTGCTTTTCTTGGGTGCTGGGACACCTAGAAAGAGCTGTTAGGGACCATGAGATTACCTGGAATGTTTTCTCACGTAGTGTCAATTTGTGAGGTCAGTGCATTGACATGACTTTACTTCTATGAATGGGAAAGGAGTTGAAAGGAAGCTTTCGGTGTTGGCCTTACACAGGGTGCCACTAGCTAGGGAGGCTAAGTTTCCATTCTCTGCATACTTCACCGGCTCCTTTGCAACCTTCGCAACACCAGTCAGCCCCATCTCACTGACGAAACAGCCCGTTCCTCTTCTGTCTGAGACCAGCAGTCTGAATTTAGGGAAGGGATTAGGTTAGATTTCATTAAATGCTTGTGTTTCTTTCAGCTTGTCAGTCATTGCAAAAGCCTCTACAGTTTCCAGGTTACTGGACAGCTTTTTTTTTTTTTTTTTTTTTTTGATACGGAGTTTCACTCTTGTCGTCCAGGCTAGAGTGCAGTGGCGCAGTCTCGACTCACTACAGCCTCCACCTCCTGGGTTCAAGCAGTTCTCCTGCCTCAGCCTCCCGAGTAGCTGGGATTACAGGTGTCAGCTACCATGCCTGGTTAATTTTTTGTATTTATAGTAGTTTATGGGGTTTCACCATGTTGGCCAGGCTGGTCTCCTAACCACAGATGACCCACCCGCCTTAGTCACCCAATGTGCTGAAATTACAGGCGTGAGGCACCATGCCATGCCTTGACATGATAGGAGGGTGATGATGGCCCTGTTGTTGCTCTGACAGCGTGAGCTGTGGCCCAAGAAGGTAGCTTTGGTTTTACAGATCATAATGTGGAGATGCAGAAACTATTACCCGTCAAGTGTGATGTGTGGTGTGACTTATTCCTAGCCAAATCTCCAGTGGGTTATTTGCAGTTTCTTCTTTTATTTCCAAAAGGTCATACTTGATCATCACCTGACATTTTCTTTTCTTTTTATATATAGAATTCAGCATTTTATGTGGATAGTGAGTTATTGGTTCGAGCCCTTCAAGAGCTGCCTCTCTCCCTCCGACTCAATGTTGCTGCTGAGCTGATCCAGGTAAAAATTCCGAAGCCCTCTTGAAGCAGGTGGATTAGGGCAGGAGAAGAAAAAAAGGGAGCAGCTTTCCTCAGCAGGATGTCTCAGTCTCAGCTTCCTTTTATAAAACTGAGGGTTTCATATCAAGGTGGCATTTTCTAGTTTAAAGGAGAATCCAAAAAGTGTTTGAAGTTACTTTTTTACATTTTATATTTGAAACATTTTAAAGGATCAAATGTAGTGGAATTGAGTGAAATGTGAAATAGAAAGTCTGGCTATTGTACTCAAAACACTTAGGCACCGCGCTCTGTGTTCAGCCCTAAGGACAGAGTGGTGAGCAGATAGACATGCTCCTGCCTTCCCGGAACTTAATCTGTTGGGAAGGATATTAATCAAGTAGTCACACAAACATATACAAATTGTCAGACATCCTATGAAGTGCAGCGTGCTCTGAGAGTTAATCAGATTCTGGTGTGGTGTGGTGTGGTTAGGAATGGCTTTTCTGAGGCAGTGATAGATGGGCTGAGGTCTAAAACATAAGAACATTGGAGCCAGAATTTAAAGGAGAAAGACCCTATCAACTCTACGTTAACACAGACAATGCTGCTACTGCTGCTGCCACGCGGAGAAAACTGGGATTGGAGTGAATCGTGGGGTAAGTCTGCTTGCACACGTACACACGAGCAGAGCAGGTGAGGGAGGCACAGGTGCAGGTGAGTGCTACTGTTGCTTGGACTACAGTAATGATGGTGAAGATGGCAGAGAAGAGGCTGTACTGAGAGGTGTTTCAGAGGTACGATGAACAGGATTTGGTCGTATGTTGGAAGCGGGGAGAGAGTGGTCCAGAAAAAAATTAAAGGTTTTCTAGATTGTGCAACTCAGTGGTAGGTAGATAGTATCAGGAAGGGTGAGATGTGGACACTATGAGTTTGTGCCTCTGAGATAACCAAGTGGACATTATAGTCAGTTGGATGTAGAACTTTACAATTCAGGATTAAGAGCTAGAAATGCAAATTCAGAGGCCAGGTGTGGTGGGTCACGCCTATAATCTCAGCACTTTGGGAGGCCGAAGAGGACAGATGACAAGGTCAGGAGTTCAAGACCAGCCTGACCAACATGTTGAAACCTTGTCTCTACTAAAAATACAAATATGAGCTGGGTGTGGTGGTGTATACCTGTAGTCCCAGCTACTTGGGAGGCTGAGGTAGGAGAATCGCTTGAACTCGGGAGGTGGAAGTTGCAGTGAGCCGAGATCACACCATTGCACTTCAGCCTGGGTGACAGAGTGAGACTCTGTTTAAAAACAACAACAACAACAACAACAGCAAAAAGAAAATCAGGAGATAGCAGGATGACACGTGATAATTGGTGAAGTAAGAGATGGGGAGGCCCGAAGACTGTGCCATGAAGAGCTTCAAAATTTAATTCTGGCATGATCAAATAAAAAAAAGTGAAACCCTGGGAAGTACCGATTTTAAATAGAATCCTAGCAACCGAAATGATCAAATTCCTTCTGTGGCTGAATGTGATGCTAAGCTGGAGCTTAGCAATGCATTGGTTATCCACCTATTTGCTGTTTCCTTTGCATTTACTAGTCTAAAATTTGGGGCAGCAGGCAGAGTTAGGGATGGAGGACAGTTAGAGACAGGGTAGAGAACTGGAAAGAATTGCATTTGCCTCCGCTGGGAGATTGCCCTGGGGGTTCTTTGGAGACTTTTGGGGGTGTCTGGGAGAGTACTGGTGGCTTTTCTGTTATGTCCAGTGAGGTTCAAAGTTCTGAAGTGCTTGGTGTAATCTCACATGATGAGGAATGTTTAGCAGAACTCACCAGGGAAATGCTGAGATAAAGGCTTCAGGACTCCGGACGGAGCGGAGGTGGTTCTGAGTGTTTGACAGTGAAGGGTGTAATGTCAATGGCAGGCACTGGGGTAAAGGTGTAAAATAATTACGTGACTTTAAAATCCTGGCTAAATAACCTAAAAAAACTTCTCCCCCACCCATGCTGTAGAGCAGTATTCTCTACCTTGTTAGCATATTAGAATCTCTTGGGGAGTTAAAAACAAACAAGAACAAGGCCAGACACCTACTCCAGACCAATTAAATGACTCCAGGATTAGAATAGAGGATGGTGTCCGAGAGGATCGTGTCCCAGCTTGCCCTGTACAACTGACTATGCTGGATATTTATTCCTTTTTGTATATAAAGCCATACTGTCTTACATCCCTGCTCAGGATGTTTGTTTATGTAAAAATAAGAGGTCAGGACCCCCAGTAGAGGTTGAACTTCTGAACCTGCCCACTGTGAGGCCTTGCTAGTCCCTGGAGCCTTCCCTTGAGAGCATTGATTCTCAGCCTTAGATTGTAACCTTATATTACAATCAGTGGGGGAGTTTTAAACTTTTATTAAAGTATGACACAGATTCAGAAAAGTGCACATTTAAGTATAACCATTGAACGAGCATCTGGATAAAGACTTAGAATAGGCTGGGTACAGTGGCTCACACCTGTGATCCATGCACTTTGGAAGGCCGAGGCAGGCAGATGAGGTCGGGAATTCAAGACCAGTCTGACCAATGTGGAGAAACCCCTTCTTTACTAAAAATTCAAAATTAGCCAGGCATGGTGACTCATGCCTATAAATCCCAGCTACTGGGCAGGCTGAGGCAGGATAATCGCTTGAATCTGGGAGGCGGAGGTTGCCGTGAGCCAAGATTATGCCATTGCACTACAGCCTGGGCAACAAGAGTGAAACTCTGTCTCAAAAAAAATTAAAAAAAACAACAACAACAACAAAAAAAAAACTTAGAATATTGTCAGCACCCAGAAGTTACCATTCATACATATTCCAAGTCACTCTCCTCCTTAAAAGGTGATCACTCACCTGACTTCTAATATTATAGTTTGCCTGTTTTTGAACTTTTTACAAAAATAATCAAATAGTGTATTTTCTTTTTTGTCTGGCATTTTCTACTTGATGTTGCTAAGAGACTCTTCTTGGTGAATTTGTTCCTTCACCTTTATATTAGTGTACATAAATACAATGAGCAGATGTGATTTGCTAATTACTTCTTGGTGACTTTTTACAGATGTTCATGTCTCATTACAGATTTAAGTTTAGAGCTAAGTAGACCTCTGGTAGTGGAAGTTCTCAGGCCAGGGTCAGGAAGACATAGATCTTTTAATTCCGAGTCTGAGCTAGTTAGCACATGGCCGAGGTGGGGAGAGTGGGAGGCACAGTGCTGGCATGTTTCAGTGAGGTCTCCCACATTTACATCAGATGTTAGGAAGGGCGCCAGCCAGGGCCTGAAAAGGAGCCACTTTGTGAACTATCTGAAGTGAGTTTCCTGTGTCACAACGTGTGCTGGCTTCTTTTCGCCTCCTCTGTGTTTAAGCCAGTATGGCAAGACTCACATTTTTAACTCAGTTTTTATGCTTCTCTTTCAGACCACAGTTCCTTTAGAGCTTCCTCAGGTGAAACCAAAGAGAACCGATGATGGCAAGGGATTAGGGATGCAGTTAAAGTGGCCCTTGGGGCCTGAAGGAAGGGAGCTGAAAGCTGCCACTGCTGGCCGCCCTGTGTTGCTGGGCAAAGACCACCCAAGACCAGGTCCTTCCGACGATTCTCAGAAACCCACTTCCCCACCGCAGTCAGCAGGAGACCGTTTGGAAGAAGAACTAGATCTGTTGCTTAACTTAGATGCACCTATAAAGGAGGGAGATAACAGCTTGCCGGATCAGACATCTCCGGACCGGAAATCCAAGAAAGATGGGGAGGTGGTCCAGGGGGAAGAAGGTATGGCTTTCATTTTATTCCCCATCCATCTTGATTCTGGTGTTTTTCTGAGAACAGCCCCACCTGCATCGCATCCTTACACATCTCTCTCGGTGTCCGACATTGATCCGGTGCTGTCCACTGACAGCTATTTCTGTGCTCACATCCCTGCTTCCCCCTGAGCTGACCTTTCTGACAACCTTCTCTCACTCGACACACCGAGCTTCCAAAGCTGCTACCTGCCCAATTGCAGTAGAAACCTGGGGCTGCAGATGGAACTTCTGCTATGAAAAGGCATTAGGATACCTGTAGCCTTCAGCTTTTCAGCAGTGGACCTTTTAATCAACTCTTCACTTTTTTCTTGCCGTTTCAATCTTACTTTTTGACAGAACAACACCACATTCTAATTTTTGCATGTCCTGTGAGATGGCGGCCTATTTGATATAGAGGGGCCCAAGGAGATTGCCACATCCAATTTTCAAGGACTGTTGCAATAATAGCAAAAATAAAACTGAGCTGTTGGTCTTAACAAAGAAGAAAAAAACAACTAGCAAGCTGTGAAGTTCAGCTTCAGAATAAAGAACAAATCCTCTACCCAGGTTTTATTAATTTGTTTAGATATTGCTGTATCATCTTAGGGAGTATCAATAATGAGAACGTTTCCCCTGGTTGTCAGCAAAGTAATAATTAGGGCTGAATTTTATCTGGGAACAAAGTCGACGGAAGCTTTACCCTCAATTCTAGGACTCATCTGAGGGTGTTAACACTGCTTTTATTTCCCCAGTTTGTGCAGAACCATCTGTGAATGAAGAAAAGAACATGGAACCTGACCAACCAAGAACATCCAAAAATGTTACCGAGGAAGAGCTGGAAGACTGGTTGGACAGCATGATTTCCTAAAAGGGGGTAGGAAATTTTGGTTGCCTTCTAAGGGCAGGTGGGCATAAGGCTGTCGTTCAGGAACAGCCAGTTTACAAGCATGCCCCAAGCTAGTGTGTTCCATTATGCTCACAGCAGCAAATGCAATGCCTACCTCTGTGCGTGACATCCGAAAGAATACCTTGAAGCAGCTTGTTGCATTTGTTTTTCTGGCTTAGTAATGTAATAGATTTCCTCAAGGACAGGGCGTACTGTGGCCCTTGTTTCTTGCCCCCGCCTTTGCAGTGTTTACAGCATAGCAGGTGCTGCTGCTGATTACGAGAAGAGATGCCAACAAGGCATGCATTTGGTCACAATAAACAAATGCTGGTCTGTCCGGTTTTTCGTTCTTGTGTGGGGCCCTGGGCGATTTGTCACATGTCCCCTTCCCCAGCAGTCACGGAGTGGTTGTAGAAGCAGCCAGAAGTGATGCATTCCAAGAGGCCAAACCATGGATTGGTATGTATTACTTTATTGCAGTGGGCACTTCGTTTTATTTGAGGAGATTCACCTAAACATAGCAGCTCCACTACTTACAAGGGACCATTAAGCATTACTCAATTTTGGCATAAGGTTGAGATTTTTTTTCTGAATTTTCAGTACAGTACTTTTCTTCTAATAACAGCAGTTGACAGCTGTTACTAAAAAATGATAGGAATAACCTTCCAGTGCAGTTTCATAAAGTAAGACAAGATCACCACTAATTAATGGAACTGTCCTTCGGGAACACAAACATAAAAAACTTGCATAGCTATATCTAAAGAGGTTTTAAGGCACTTAATCGAGATTTCACTGTCGACAAAGTGTCGGGTTTTTTCTATTTCTTTAACTGCTTAAAGCTTTTCTGGATACAGTCACTAGCAAGTACCATGGGAAAAATTAGACTCAGTTAAAATTATTTTTTTGTAGTTCAGACCCTATGAGTCACAAGTTGATTCCATCATATGACATTCAAGTGTTTAAAACTTCAGGTATTATATATTCAAGGCTTCATACTTCTCTAGCCCTTTCCTTAATATACCTTAGAACTGAAAAACTTGAAGGCATTTGACTAGAGAGTATTTGATTCTTTGCCATCCTTCTTAAACAACATTTTGACAGGCTCCCACAGTGTATGTATGTCCATTAGGCACAAAAAGCCAAATCAATCTCAAAATAGCACAGATTTTTAGCAAACATCTTTTTTTAAGGGAGGCATTTAGAAAATGTCACATTTCAAATATGTTGCAGATCTGTAACAGGAGGACTTTCTTTCCTTGGAAGTTGACTGTCCAGAATCGTGGCACTTCTTTCATTCAGATTATCCAAGCTGATCTTCATATTGTTTACGAAAGCAATCACCAGCTGGGAAGAAATCCCAACACCTTTCTTGGTACATCTTCCAGACGTAAGATTCCTGAAATGATGTGAAAAATGGGTGCTTATTTTTAAACCACAGTAAGCTAAAACCCAGTGTGTTTTTGCTGTTTGTGGCTCCCTTTAGGAAGACTGATGTGAATTTATATGAGGCCAAACCTGCTCATTCATTCTTGTTCTATTCCCAGCCCAGGCTGTCTGGGGAGCAAGAAGCCATGTCTGCCTGACACTCTCTGCTGGCAGGGAAGGAAAAAAAAAACCCCCTTGCCCCAATCAATGTTTGCCACTAAAAATGCTTAAAGATTTAACAAAGGTGATTGCATGCCATTGGAGGAAGACAGAGGAATGCATGAGGAAATGTTTACTGCTCGCTAAATCCAGATCTGGAAACCAGCTACCTCTCCCATTGAGTGAGTGAGCTGCGCAGTTTTCCCGCAAAGCCAATGATGTTTGAATATTTGGGAACGGACTTTTTCCTCCCCTGTTCTCTACCACTACGTTTCTTTTTTACATTTAGTTACGAAATTTGACACATCCTCTCACGCACCCCTGTCACCCACACATGAGGTTGTTATCTTTCTTAGGCTGTCTCTCACTCCGTTGTACTCCGACTTTCCTGCTCTTTGTTACAGCCACCCACTCCATTTCTCATTGTCTTTTTCTCTGTTACGTTCTCCCCACCTCCAGCTATTCTAGTTTGAAGCGGTAGCTATAAGCGTTTAGAAAAAAATGTCAGTGTGGGTTAAGTCACAAAAAGGTAATGGAAAAATGCATACATGGGCTTAACGGGGTCATCCGTCTATTTCAGATAGCCTGTGCCCTACTCAGTCTCATGATTTAGGAAGGGGAGATCTTTTGAAGGCATTTTATTTCTCACCTGACCCGTGTGTTCTGTTTCATCTTTATTAATCAAATACATCAGAAAGAACCTGGAACAAGGAAAAGATAGTATTAGATACTCTGGTCCAGACCCAAGTTGATGCACACGGGTTAACTGTAATCAGAGCTCAAAAAGGCTGTTTGGTCCTATGCTGTCTACAGTAACTTTAAGAATCAGGGAATTGGCTGTGTGTGGTGGCTCACACCTGTAATTGCACCATTTTAGGAGACCGAGGTGAGCAGATCAAGACCCTCCTGGCCAACATGGTGAAACCTTGTCACTACTAAAAATACAAAAATTAGCAAGGTGTGGTGGCACATGCCTGTAGTCCCAGCTACTGAGGAGGCTGAGGCAGGACAATCGCTTGAACCCAGGAGGTGGAGGTTGCAGTGAGCCAAGATTGTGCCACTGCTCTTCAGCTTGGCGACAGAGCAAGACTCCCTCTCAAAAGAAAATAAAAGATATCAGGGAGGTGTGGCACAGGAACACAAACTGTCATTTTCTAATAGTAGCACACATGAATCTCGAAATTAGCCTCTTTGTGTGGTGAGATGCTTTTTGCCATCCCTAAACCTTGAGCTCAGATCACTTGCAAGGTAGCATTTTGGCCACCGTTTTATTATTAACAAAATTCTAATCTGATACATCATAGAATATTTTACAGGGCATTTATCATCCCATATAGATATCGAATTGACATTATGTATGTGTCTCTAGAATACCTTTCATAGAAAAGTCAGGAAGTATTCAGTCTCATTGGGTTGCGCGGATTCTTCCAGAAGTATAGTTTTGTTTTCATAGATAGATAGCTGGGGGAATGCCAGTGTGGTTTGACGTGCTCTGTGATCCATGTCTTAAGTGTCACAGACCAACTCAAACCTAAGTATCCCAGGAGCTGAACTCCCAGCTCACATTACGTGATCTCAGAGACAGTTTCCAAAGGAATCAGGCTCATGCCCTTCAGGAAAAGGATTGTGAGGTTGGTGATACAAGAAAGTAGCAGTAACATCCTTCTGAGGGTAGGGAGTCTGAGCCCCAGATCTTGAGTTCTATCAGGGTGGTACGTGGTTAGAGCTTTCGGTCCTAGCCCACAGTAGTAGCTCTGAGTATGTTCATTGCCTCCCCCCTTCTCATTTACTGACGAAGCAGCAGTTTGGGTGGGAGGCTCAAACACAAATAATTTGGGTTCTTTCCCCTCAAGCTTGCTCTTGGAGAGGATAGAGACAGGAAAAAGACCAGGATCACAGTGCCAGGGGAAGGCATAGAAGAGGTTCCAACCCAAATGACAGCATCCCTGCACAGATCTGTAATCCATGAACTGACATGTGGCCATGGGCTCATTCATCTCCATTAAGATGTATATTCTCTTAATGGGAATTAATGATGGTAAATACTCATGACATGAGGAAGGGCACAGTACAGTTAGCTTTTAAAACTCAAGTTTTTGAGGCCAGGTGTGTCACTTCAGGTCTGGAGTTTGTGACCAGCTTGGAGAACACCGTAAAACCCCGCCTCTACTGAAGATACAAAAATTAGCCTGGGATGGTGGCAGGTGCCTGTAGTCCCAGCTACACAGGAGGCTGAGGCAGGAAAATCACTTGAACCTGGGAGGTGGAGGCTACAGTGAGCCAAGATGGCACCATTGCTCTCCAGCCTGGGCAACAGAGCCAGACTGTCTTAATAAAAACAAACAAAACAGAAGTCATGTTTTTGATTTAAGAAACTTATACCCTAGCAAAAACATATCTTTGCCACTTCTGACCATGCCTTCTCCAAAAGCTGAGCGTGCTCTCTCCTAAAGAAAGATGAGGGCTAGGCTCAGTAGTGTGTCACCAGCCTGGGCAACATGGCAACATCCCATCTTTACCAAAAATAAAAAAAAAATTAGCTGGTTCTAAGTTAGTGGTGTGCCTGAAAAAAAGCAGTATGAAAACAGAGGGATGCCTCAATTCCAAATAACCCAGGTCATGGGGCTTTGCTGTTTTTTGTTTGTTTTTGAGACAGGTGTCCCACTCTTTTGCCCAGGCTGGAGTGCAGTGGGGCAATCTGAGCTCACTGCAACCTCCGCTTCCAGGGTTCAAGCAATTCTCGTGCCTCAGCCTCCCGAGCAGCTGGGACTACAGGTGTGTGCCACCACACCTGGCTAATTTTTTGTATTTTTACTAACGACAGATTTCACCATGTTGGCCAGGGTGGCCTTGATCTCCTGACCTTGTGATCCACTCACCTTGGCCTCACAAAGTGCTGGGATTACAGGTGTGAGCCACTGCGCCTGGCCAGGGCTTCACTAGGAATGAGAAAGGACAGACATGATGAGGCCCGAAAACTGACCACAGAAATTTAGCAAGATGCAGGTTACAGGCCTCTTTGACAAGACCAAATCTTATGATGTGGGGAGGAAAGCCTGCCAGTAGGAGGGTCACAGGCGAATGGGAAGAGAGAAATTGAACACAGTGAGTGAGCATGGACAGCTTTCAATTGTGCGGAAAGGCAAAAAGAAGTAGGGCAATAGGTAGAAGTAAAAATGAGGGCACAGATTTTTCTTTGTTTAGGGCAGGCGTCCCCAAACTTTTTACACAGGGGGCCAGTTCACTGTCCCTCAGACCGTTGGAGGGCCGCCACATACTGTGCTCCTCTCACTGACCACCAATGAAAGAGGTGCCCCTTCCTGAAGTGCGGCAGGAGGGAGGATAAATGGCCTCGGGGCCGCATGCGGTCCGCGGGCCATAGTTTGGGGAAGCCTGCAACTTAGAGAAAAGCATATTTATATCGTAAGAGAAGTTCAGCAGAGAAAGAGAAATCCTAGAAGGGTGTGTCCTGGAGATTGGATGGAATCCAATCAGGTTGAGGAGGTGGCCTTTGCTAGGAGCAGGAATTGCCAACAACACACGTCTATCACACTTGGGAGATGCAGAGTCTATGGACAGAGGAACAGGCTCAGGGGACTCCTGGAAGTTCCTTTCTGGTAACGTTTTCCAGCAGAGACTGAACTGTATGACATAATTGGCTTTTTTTTTTTTTTTCTTTTTTTTACACGACAACTCCCATCACTTCTGTTAACCGAGGATACTCACAAGTAGTTGGCCAAGTTGTGCTCTTGTA